ACCCAACCATTCTTCTATGAGGTGGATTGTTGCAAAGAATAGTATATTATACCGGTACGCGTAGCTTTCTTGTATTGTCAACCGGATTCTTTTGTGTGTATGTGTGCGTGTGTGTGTGTGTGTGTGTGTGTGTGTGTGTGTGTGTGTGTGTGAGAGAGAGAGAGAGGTGGAAGTGGCGTCGGTAGCCTAATGGTTGGGCATCCGGACCGGCCGTAATCGTGAGGTTGCGGTTTCGTCGAGGCTTCGAACCTCAGCTCGGTCCGACATTTTGTCCTTGGGGTGGGCACTTTACACGAATGTTCTATTTAACCTGACCCTTTCGGAGATGGGCATTAAATTTGGAGGTCCCGCCTCATAAATAGAACCAAAAGTACTAAAATAGTGTTTCATGTTGATAGGGGCGTTTAACTTTAAACCCGGTGGGTGGTTGGTGGATGCTCTGGTTTCGTTTGCTCCTTCTTTTCTATCAAACATGGATGGTCCTATCTCTCCTCCTTCTTTTTTGTGTATCATGTTACCCTCTTGTAACACATAATCTATTCTTCGACACTTATACTTAAATGACCTTACTGTGTTGCAAATGCCGTAAGACTCTTACAAAAAAACAAAACAAAAAAAACCTACGGTAACTTGTTGTATGTTACTCTCTGGTAACACATCAATTATTCGACACTTATATGACCGTATCATGTTGATAATGGGTTGCAAATGCCGTAAAACTCTTCCCAAAAAAAAACCCTACTGATCACTTTGTGTATCTTACTCTCTGGTAACACATTCGGCACTTACATAATATGACCTTATCGATATTGTGTTGCAAGTGCCGTAAAACCCTTACGAAAAAACATAACTTTGAACCCTCCCACTGGCTGTGTCCCAGGCGGTGGGCCGAGAGATGCTTATCCACCTGGCTGAGCACTACCTGCTCTCCTACGGCCGCAACGCCACGCTGACCGAGTTCCTGGACACGACGCGCGTGCACCTCATGCCCAGCATGAATCCGGACGGCTTCGCCAGCTCCCGGAAGGGAGGGTGTACTGGCGTCATGGGCAGGTCAGTTGAGAGATTTTTTAAAAATTAATTTTTAAAAATATTTGTAAATACTAGCTGGGCCCCCTTTCGGTGAAAGGAATTACCGGTGCATTAATATCAACTAAAAGTCATTGGCCTACTATATAAATTACACTCTACTGGAATGGAGCAATAAGTCTTGAGAGAAAAGCGGCGCATGTGTTTCCAAGTTGTCAAATATATTGATGATTGTATAGATTGATTTTCTATTCCGCTTTCGTGGTTGTACACTCCAGATTTTCAAAGGTGTGGAACAGTGCTCACGGCTAGTGAAAGGAAACCTCACTTGTTTACAATGTCGTCTTAGAAGACGAACTTTCCCAAGATTAGATCTAAACGAAACTAATGAAAAACTTAAAACTAAACTACAGTGACTGCAGGCTCCTCAATAAAACTGTATACCCTTTAAATGATTCTGAACCATCATTAATTTTGTCGAATTCGAAAGTTACGTGATTTGGAAGTTTTTAGTGGCCAAAGTGACGAACTATCACAAATAAAATATAATATGTAGATATTATTATTATTATTATTAATTTATTTATTTATTATGCAGTTGCGAGGGTTGTAAAACCCCTACTTAAACAAACAAACAACAGCATATTTTTATTATTATTACTATTACTATCATCACCATCATCATTTTTTTAAAGAACTATCTTTGTCATTATTCTTTATTTATTTTTATTGATTTATTCATTCTATATATATTTTTTTGGTGTCTGTGTATGGGTGGGGGGGGGATAAATAATTCTCAAGATATCACAGTCTTGCACGTAAAATGTTCAGACATTATGGCCATAAAGTCGACATATTTGTCCAGTCTAATGCTGCCGGTATTCTTGGAGTGGTTATTACTTTCACGGAATGTTTGTTACTCAAGTTCGACAGGACACTTTTCCCAGTGCTGTTCTTCATTGGTACATTTTCATTCCAAATAGTGTTGATTAGGGCATTGAACCCATGCACTCACATAGTCACAGCATGGACTTATTCCTGGAGGGCGAACAACGTATAATGTTAGGGTCAGAGTTTGGTTTCGCTGACTACTGTTTGATAAGCACACCCTGGCACACTGTTTACTTACTTACCCAAACCTCCTGTGTCCTCACAGGAGCAATGCCATGGGCTACGACTTGAACCGCAACTTCCCGGACTATATAGTGGGCAACGACGTGCCGGAGCAGAAGGAGACAAGCCTGGTGCGCCGCTGGATCCACGAGACGCCCTTCGTGCTATCGGCCAACCTGCACGGCGGGGCCATGGTGGCCAACTACCCGTTTGACTACTCCCCGGCCGGTCAGTGGCTGGGGGAGGGGGGTGGGGGCAGCATGGCTGTGTGTATGTGTGCGTGTGTGTGTGTGTGGATGGGGAGGGGAGGGTGAGCAGATCGACTGCTCGGGGTGTACGACTTCGTCATACATCAGTTTTCAAAATGGCGTATGGCGGAGTTGAAGTGATATTAATAATAATGCTATGATAATAATAATATTATTTAGTAGTAGTAGTTGTATTTTTATAATCATTATGATCACTTTAGAATCTATTATTAGGTTCTTGTGGCCTAGAGGTTGAGGTGTTCGCCTCTCATTCAATAGGTCTCGAGTTCGAATCCAGATAGCGACGGGGAAAATTTTCTTCTCTAAAAATTGTCTCCTTTCACATCCTTTCCTGCTCTCTAACAATGTTCTGTCGTCTGCTTTTGTGTCCACTTTCTGCTCCCGCCCCCTCACATCTTTTCCTCTGGGCTCCTGACTCTTTCTGCAGCCTTTCTACTGCTTCTCCTTGGCTCCTTACTGCTGTCTTTCAGCCACACCCCTGATTTTATGAGAGGTAAGGTCTACACCTAGTGTTCTCGGACAAGGGCGAAAAATCTTAGAGGTCCCATGTGCAAGTTGGGCACTTTGAAGACCCCTTGGTGGTTCAAAATTGATAAGAGTAGGCTTCGGCCGCCACCCGGGCAAAATGCAAGATTTCCTTCCAACTGAAAATGTTTGGTGTGTCCCGGCACTCATATGACCTTATGCAATTGCGAACGCTGTAAAACACCAAAAGAAAAAAAAAATTATGTTATTGTATTTGTTATTGTATTATTATAATTATATTATCATTACTGTCATATTATTATTATCATTGTTATTATTATACATGTATTAGATCTATCTATTAGTGTTATCATAAATTATTATTGTCATATGATTAATTAATTGTTATTATTATAATAATATTATTTATTATTATTATTATTATTATTATTATTATTATTCCCCCCCCCCCCTTCCCCAGACATCTACGCCCAGGAATACTCCCGCAGTCCTGACGACGACGTGTTCATCCACCTGGCCTTGACCTACTCCCGCACACACCCGACCATGCACCTGGGCTCCTCCTGCCAGGATGAGTTCCCCGACGGGATCGTCAACGGCGCCAACTGGTACCCTGTGGTCGGTGAGTACGTGGGATAGACTGCCGCTATATGGAGGACCTGGGTTTGAATCCCCCACATTATTATTTAGCATTTCCTCGACTTAGATTATAACTAATGAGAGGACATTTGGTAAAAGTAACGTATGCCCTCCTCGGCCTGAATTGTTTGGGGAGGATATTTAGTAAAAGTAAAATATCCCCCCCCCCCCTCTTTCTCTTCCTAAAAAATCTCTTTTCTTCACACTTCGAATTGCCTGACCTAATGTGCAATTTATCTGGAGTCTCCATTTAGAGCTGTGTGATTTTGAGGAAATAAAACTTCATTGAAGCTTCAAAACGAGAGGTATCTATTCATGTTACTCGATTGTGCGTGTAGAGGGGGTTGTGTTTTTTTTTTTGGGGGGGGGAGGTTGGGTGAGGTTGTTTGTTTGTTTGGGTGTTTGTTTGTTGGGTTTTTTTAGGGGGGTGGGGGAGTTAAGATAATGTACATTAATAATATAAATCCTTCCCCCAATTTGCTTTTTCTTTCCCATCAAACATCCCGCAGCCTTCTTTTTGTGTCTGTTACTCTCTTGTAACACCTCAAATCTTAGCACTTATAAATCTATGACCTATTTGTGCTGCAAGTACCGTCAGACTTTTCTTAGAAGAAAAAACAATAAAACCACTACCACCACTTCCCTTTTTTACCTGGCGGCGTGCAGGACTACCTGTTTCCCTCTTGTAGCACCTCCAAATTTCGAAACTTATATGACCTAATTATGCTACAAGTGCCGTAAAACTCTTCTTGCTGAAACAAGCAATAACCCTACCCCCACCCCTCCCTTATTTCCAGGCGGCATGCAGGATTACATGTACCGACACGCCAGTGGCTACGAGGTTCTGGTGGAGATGTCCTGCTGCAAGTTCCCGCCCCCAGCCCAGCTGGAACGTCTCTGGGCAGACAACAAGGACGCTCTCATCAACTTCTTGCTGCAGGTCCACATGGGTAAGAATGATTCGTTGATTGATTGTCACACGTTTTACGTCCTCTTCTACACAATTAGGGTTGGTTTGGATCTTTTTCGGATTCAATGACCATGACTGATTTGACTGAGGCGTAATATTAACAACATTTTTGTCACATAATATGTTGTAGTTTGTGATTCTGTTTTCAAGTTCAAAAGGGAGTATTTTCATTATTCTTTGGGGTGAGGGATGAGACATTTCGTTCTATCCACAGAGAGAGGTGGGGTAGGTGGGGGCTTTCTTTTTTTGAAGGGAGATTGAGAGGAGATATTGCAGAGGGGGATGGGGGGAATGGAGGAGGTTGGGTTTGCTAATTGGAGAGTGAATGTTTGTTCATTCCATGATCTTTGTGCTTAACAAGTTTCTTTGGGTTTTTATGTAGATCTGGTGGGATATAATGTAAAAAATGCTAGGATGGAAGGGGGGGGGGGTATGATTCTTTTAAATAAAACATGCTAACTTTCACTTTTAATTAGGCTTCTATGAAAGAGAATGCTCTTGTTCATAGACTTGTTTACAGTCAGCGTAGTTTATCCTATCCTTTTGGCTGTCTCTGTTGTCCTGGATGTGAAATACACACAATGGGGAGAAGTGTGGTTTTATTTTGTTGTTGTTGTGTTCTTTAGATTTTATGTTATCTTTGTTTTTGTTGTTTTGTTGGGGTGGGGTGGTTGTTTGTTCGGATTTTGTTAGTTTTGTTGGATTTTCTTTCTTTTTTTTTCGGGTGTTGTTTGTTTATTGTTTGCTATTGTTTTTAATTAGTTGGGGTTTTTTAAGGAGGGGGGGGGGTTATTAGTTATACTCACTTTTCTATAATAAGGCAGTGATGTCTGAGGTTCTGTCCTAAGCTCTTCTTTGTCCAGCAGACGTTCATTAGAAAACAGTTGCCTCGCTGAAATTCCTTAAATTAATTTATATTTATATGTTTCTTGTGTGTGTGGTTTTTTATGTGTGTTTTTTTTTTGGGTGTGTCTGTATGTGTGTTTTTTTGTGTGTGTCTGTCTCTGTGTGTGGGAGGGGAGACTGGAATTCTGGTTCTCTTTCAACCAGCAGGCTACTCACAAACAGTTCTTTGATGAGTGAGTGAGTAGGTCGAACGGTTGAACTGGTTTTAGCCTTTTAGTCTGAACAGGTACAGGCCTGTGTAATGTATCTGCAAGCTGGCTAATGAGTTTGCCTCAACGCCTGTTGGCATGGAGGAGTGGATGTGATACATACATGTGTCTATCTTTCCTCTTCTCTCTCCCGTGCCTCTCTCTCTCTCTCTCTCTTCTTTTCTTCCTCCCCTGCCTCTCTCTCTCTCTCTCCTTTTTTCTCTCTCCCCTTCCTCTCGCTCTCTCTCCTTTATCTCCCCTCCTTCTATTTTGTGATTGTTATTCTCTTGTAACACCTTTAATCTTTGGCACTTATATTACCTTATTATTCTCTCTCTCTCTCTCTCTCTCTCTC